GAAGAGAAGGCCCAGTGGTTAAGAGTGAAGAGAAGGCCCAGTGGTTAGGAGTCAAGAGAAGGCCCAGTGGTTAAGAGTGAAGAGAAGGCCCAGTGGTTAAGAGTGAAGAGAAGGCCCAGTGGTTAAGAGCACTTGCTGCTCTTTCAGAGGAGCCAGGTTCAATTCTAAGCACATATATGGTGTAGCTGCCTCGAATTCCACTCCCAGAGGGTACAGCATCCTCTTCCCACCTCCATGCGTACCCAGTAGTACACAGACATACGTGCAGGCAAAATACTCATACATATAAAAGAAATAAATCTAAAAAAAAAAAAAATTAAAATTTAATTAACTCTGCCTAAATTATATCTACATTAGATTTCCTGGAACACTAAGTAAGATTTAATAAACATCACATGTTCTAAATGTAGGAATAGCTCATGCCTTTAATCCCAGAACTTGGGAGGCAGAGGCAGGCGGATTTCTGAGTTCGAGGCCAGCCTGGTCTACAGAGTGAGTTCCAGGACAGCCAGGACTATACAGAGAAACCCTGTCTCGAAAAAACAAAACAAAAAATAAATAAATAAATAAATAAATAAATAAATAAATGTAGGAATATAGAAACATATAAGCATATTTTTCAACTGATACCAGTTACTCTTTACATTTATTATAATAAGAATTGAAATTAGAATTACAGTTCTTTACTGACATGTACATAGAGGTTTTATATAGTATGTTTCATTGTGTCTTCATTTATATGTCCTTTCATGAATTTATGTCACTTTATCGTGTGTGTGTGTGTGTGTGTGTGTGTGTGTGTGTATGTGTATTGTGCATGTGTGTGCTGGAACATATCTACTAACTTCTTTTTTTATATATAATTACCTTTAGGAATAAATTTGTGGAGTTTGATATGAAGCCAGTCTGTAAGAAGTGCTACGAGAAATTTCCTTTGGAGCTGAAGAAAAGACTTAAGAAACTATCTGAGACCTTAGGAAGGAAATAACTTTTGATGTCTTTTTTTTCTCTCTCTTCTAATCAATATTACTTAACTGGATCGACCCTGATCCACCCTTGCTTAAAACTATATCAAAGCATTAGAGAGAATGGTTTTCTTTATTCCCCTTTTCTCATTTAAAATGAAAGAAAATGTTTATTTCTATGTAAAACACAGGTGAAATCAGGACTTTCATTTCTTTAGCCATATTAGTCTGTAGGCATTAAAAGTATATAATCAAAAAACAAAAACCAAAAAAAATGTTAAAGGGTAGTTTTAATTAAGCCATCCAAAATATGAATTTAACTCTTCAGAATTAAACATCCTGCTCTATGGACCAACAGAAGCACTTGCTGCCAAACTTAGTGGACTAAGTTGAATCCTTAAGAAAGCATCTGAGTCCATGTGGGTCATGTGGAACGAGAGCTCACTCCCACACGTTGTCCTCTAAGCTCCACAGATGGCCGTGGTGCATATGCACTAACACACAGTTAAAAACCGTAATAAACAACCGCTGTTCTAAAGAGTCAGCTTTTACATGTTTCACATTTTAAAGGACTCCAAGCTTTGCTTTTCCTTTATATAAGAAAATAATTTCCCATTCCTATACTGGGAACTATATAGGGAAGATAGGTAAACTACCAAAACAGTTCCTATGTAGTCATGTGTTTATCCAGTTAGCATTGTCAAAAGAACATGCATATTAGTAAGAAGCAAAAACATTTCAGAATGACTTCTTTTTTTTACTAAATCACTACACTTAGTTTTCTATTTCATTCTCCTTATAAATTTTTCTTTCATAAAATTACTTAACATACTTGTAACTACTAATGTGTCTTTTACGTTTTTGAGCAAAACAAAAAAATACCAGTTACCTGGAAAATAACTGCATATATTGTGATATTGGGGAAATGAAACATTTAAAAAATATATTACACAATTATGCTTCTAAGCTTAATGTAAGATGCATAGTATTCAAATGGGCCGTGAAATGCACTATGATGCAGCTTGAATCTATCGCTTTCAACAGTGAGCATGACCAGGTGTAGTGGCAGGTGGTGGTCCCAGCTCTCTGGAGGCAGAGGCAGGCAGATCTCTGAGTCCTAGCTCAACCAGGGCTGCATATTAAAACCTTGTTTCAGAAAGAATGACTGTATCTCATATTACCTTTGTGTTAATATCTATGCTTCATACATAATCTAACTTGCCTTGCCTTAGAAAACTGCACTCTATAATCAGGAATTCTAGATATTTCCTATAATACCAAAATAAGTATTTTGACTGAGATCCATTAATTTAGAATTATTCACCACCAATATAAACTTTAAAAATTCTTTTGTCAGGAAGCCAATGAAAGTTAATTCCTGTCCTCTTATTAGAACTATGCTGATACAGTAAAACATTTTAATGAAGGCTTTTTCATTTCAGATGTCATAACTGGGTTTTATGTACTATAATGTAGTAAAACAGTATAACTGATACTTTTAGATCAAAAGAGGGTAGTAAGAGTATGAACTTTAAAAATCAGTGAGTTCTATTTTATAAAAATTTTCATCTTAAAATGTATAGACTGTTCTTTTTGTATAAACTCAATATGCAAAAGTATGAACATTTTTAAATTTTTTCTGCTGCTAACATGTTACCTTCTTTTTCTCAGTTGCCAAGATATATTTTGTAAACTTTGCTGGATATAGTGATTCACATTGTAGTCTTAGCACTTGGGAGGCTGAGGCAGAAAGACTGCCATGAGTTGGAGACAAATCCTAGGTTACAGTGTGAGATGCTATCCCCCAAAACATCCCCACAAACAAAAACACTAGTGTGTTGTTTTGCCATAAAGAATATCTCAGGAACCTAGGAAAACGCTCAGTCAGTAATGGACTCACACCAGTCTTAGGACCTGAGTTTGAACTTGGAGGTGAGCAGATCCCTGAATTTATGAGATAGCCAACTCAGCCTAACTAGTGAGTCCCAGATCCAAGGGGGAAATCCTGTATCAAAAAAAGCAAGGTGGATGGCTCCTGAGGAATGATAGCCAAGATTGACATCTGGCCTCCACACCCACACATACATATGCGCACATTCAGGAATAATAGACGTGTATACACACACACACACACACACACACACACACACACACACACAGGATATCTCAGGATGCTGTTACTCTGCCATTAAAAGCTTGTAATCATGAATTTTTAGAATACTTGGTTATGCACATTATGGAATATATTTCTGTTTTTATATAGCTAGCTTGTAGCCAATCATTTTATTTCCTAATACGCTTTTGGAATTAAGAGAATTATAAGTGATTTAAAATATACATGCTTTGTGTTTGTTTAACATTTTAAATTTTCCTTGTTTTTGACAATAAGAACCAAAATTTCTTCAGCGTGCCTTTGTGAGCTTAGAATGACTAGCAATGATTCCCTTAAAAGTATTTATGAACTATTGTACATGCATTTAAACAAACAGAATTTGTAGTCTAGGGTCTTAATGCTAAGTTCTTACATACCTCACTGGAGTACGGAGCAGAGAATCAGGCATTCCCGTGCTTGCTCCGTCACTTTAGAGGTGTGTGGCCTGTGCCTGACTGCCTCTGCTTGTGTGACATCGCTTAGCCAGAGTCCCCACTGCTGTCTTTGCTCACTTCTCTCAGACAGGAGTATTCCAGTAAGTTTGATCTCATAATTATATAGTAATTCATCTAGAGATGGTGCTTTTCACTGTGGGGTGTATCATGACAGAGAGCCCTTAGTGTGGAAGAAGAGAGAGGTCTAATGGGACCAAGACAAAGACTGCATCTGGTTCCTGCTAGTTGTGGGGTTTCACTGGCTGCTGGCATTTGTCAGTGAACATCTCTGTTTGAGTTTCTGAGAACAATCTAAAATAATTCATTGTGCTTATGTCATTTCTAAGTGGCCTTTTTGTCCTTAGTTACCCTAATGTAACATGGAAAATGGATACACAAAGAAATATTTTTTGTGTCGTGTTCAAAGCCTTATTAACACTTTGCCTGAAATAGGTCATTTGCCTCATCCATTTGCCAAAGCAGCTGATTCCAGGTTAAAGAAACTTTGATGTAGGCTGACAATATTCTTGTATTTTATTTTAGATTGTAAGCTTAATGGCAAGAAATTATATCAGTAATTGCGCTTTTTATGTAGCAACCATTGCTATATACTTTTAATAAATATTCATAATTATTCAAAAATGTGTTATGTATCATTTAGTTTGACCTGTCTTTGAAAATTCAGATATTCATTTAGTATAATATGTTAGAAACATTAATATATGTAAATAAAAGAAAATGGCCTGGGTATTGGGTACAAGCCAAGTTTTAGCACCTTTTATATTAACTTTTCCTGGGGCAACGTCGATAAATGTCTGCTCATCCCAGATAGAGCAGCATAGCTTGCTGAGGTGGTGATTTTACTGGACTAATTTCCAGCAGTTTGGGTGAAGGCTACTTACAGGAATGAGGATAAACTTTAAAACTGCTGCATCATAGAAAAGCTGCATCACTTGAGCATTGAGACAACCCCCAAAGCTGCATGAATGCAGCCCCACCCTTCAGTTACCTTTCCTCCTACATATTCTAGTGCCTCTCGCAACGTGTCCCTCTGGAGCAGAATCACTTGCATCTGGGGTCAGTGTGTGCAGGAGAGAACAAGTAGCTCCTATCTCCAGTGAGGACCTAGTGGCCTCCCACACACTCTCACAAGGAAACTGCCTTGCTCAGGGTCTCTTTCAAGTACTCAGCAGCAATGATTACAATGGTACTTCCTGTCTTACTCCAAGGACAACGTCCCACAGTGCCACAGATGGTATTGGATGTCAGAATAAATGTTTTTAGCTCTGGGGACCCATTCGAGACCTGGCCTTGTGCCAATTCATGGCACACTGACCAAGTGCCTGACAAGAAGGAATTTAAAGGATGAAGAGTCTCTTGTGATGAGGAAGCATGAGTCAGCTTGCTCACATCTGGGCAGATGAGGAAGTAGAGGGAGGCCTTGTCTGCAATCGTTTCTTATGCTGTCCCCCTTAAGTCCCACCCACTGGATCCTCATGGAGATAGTCCATAGTCCGACCTTTACATCCAGTAAGCGCTCTGCCACTGAGCCAATCCCAGCTCTCACTTGGATTTCCCTCTCTTCACAGGGCAGCCAGGGCCTTCCTTTGTGTACCCATGAAATACCCACATGAGTAGATTACAGACTACTACGAATGTAAGACCACTTCAGAGTGCTTTATTCAAGCCTGTGACTGAGCACGCTCCTGCCATAAAGTACACTCGCCCTGAAGGGAAGCGGAGTAGGATTTCTAGAGTCAAAACCTACAATCACAACACACCAGAGTGACACGGGGAAAGAACAAGAAGTTTCAGAGTTTTCGTTTCAGTTGAGTAAAACCTTTGTTGTATGTTGTAAAACGATGGGCCTTCCGAAGCTGTTGGTGTGGCTGCGTGAGAATCTTCTCATCTCAGCAGGATATGCTCAGCCACTGGGGAGAGCTGGGTGAAGGCTATGATCTTAGAGAAAGTCAAAGCACTGACTCATTAGGAAAGGGGTTGCATTGGGTCCTCAGATACATTAGTTTAACGGAGGTTGTTCATCTTTTGACAGAGTTTAATAACCAGTTAATTAAACAGGGTCTGTAAAGGAGAGGCCCATGAATAAGGTGAGGTCACCCATGATTCCAGTCAAGCTAGCCATGGAACTAATTTTTAGGAAAATATAAAGACCAACTGTTGTTTAGATGCATAGTCTGCTATGACTTACTAAAGACATCAAACAATTTTTTTAATAAACATCTTTTAGAAGCAGCAAAACTAGTAAAAAAAAAATTTCATGTGTCGGAGTCCTGTCCTAGGTAACCATCGTGGCTAACCCTATAGGAAGCATTATGGCTAATATTATTATGAGTCCAAAATGAAGAAGGAACATAGTAATTCCTATCTCCCAGTGTCTACTGTTGGCTTCCAGGTTTGTCATGGGGGTAGAACTGAAGACCTGGTTGCTGTCATTTCAGGAAGGTGACTTGGAGAGGTCTCTTCTACAGATAGTGTTGTTTTCTTTCCCTTGGGTCTACAGGATGACACCTGTGACTAGTGTTTAAATGGGCACCCATGGTTAAGACCAATGGCCCTGTATCAAAGTCAGGTAATCAGTTATTCTCAGCCCTGGAATTAGTTTTTGCTAAGAGGAGAATTGAATGTCAGGATAGAAGGCATAGCCAAGTGAACTAACATGCAGGTCCCATACCAGCTGTCAGGCTTAGGCACAAAGTTCCCCTGTTCAAAGCACCCACATATGTCTATTTGGGAGACCTTGAGTAATTACTATTTGCCATCACTGATTGTTGCTTGAGAGTGGATGCAAATTCTAAGATCTCCACTGCGTGAGAGAATCTTTACCCCTCCCGTGTGAGACATGAGAAGTAATTTGTCCTTTTTAGAGATGAGATTTTCCTGGTCTGTCTTACAGCAGCAGACTCAGGCAATTTTTATTTTCTCATGCATCTCTATCCTGTGATGAAGCCAACATGCAATTTACCTTGGTGGCGTCTTGTAGGAGGAGCTAAGGTAGGAGGAGTAAGGAGAGGAAAAGGAAGAGGAGGAGCTAGAGAGGGCAGAGATGTAGGAGGAGGGTGAGCCACGCAGGTATGGAGGGCAGTCTCAGGTAGCAACTTATATTTAGGTTAGCTAATTGGGAAACAACTCTAATTGTATGGGCATATTGTTACTGAACATTAGCAAACATATAAAACCCTTGATTAATATTTAAGCATTAGAGTCTCATTTTCCTACTGGACCCACGTGGATGGCAGGATGGTCTGGGCAATGCCCAGCCTTGCGAAGACAGCATGGAAGATTGGCAGAGCCATCTCCCACGGTGGCATCTCGTGGGTGGCAGGGCTGGTGTTTCTGGCGGGCCATTTCTAGCTGCAGCACACGTGGTCTCTGGCTGCGGAACATGGTGGCTGAGCTAGGCAGAGCCGCCGCACCTTAGATAGTGGGCTTGACTAGTTGACTAGCGGCCATTTTAAATAATTACTTCAACAGAGTCTGGGTCCCATCCAAGGGGAAGGGTATATAATTCTGGGGATGTCCTGCTATGCAAGTATATTGTAAATTTAACCCATTTTACTCAAGTATTAAATTCTCTTAGCCAATTTTTTTCTTCATAGCCAGTTTTTTTTTTAATATATCTTATTTTGAGTATTATAAACTTTAGAGTTATCTGCATTAAACTTAATTTTTGAAAACATATACACATATACATATATTTTTCTTTTTTTCTTTTTTTCTTTTTTTTTTTTTGAGACAGGGTTTCTCTGTGTAGCCCTGGCTGTCCTGGAACTCACTCTGTAGACCAGACTGGCCTCGAACTCAGAAATCCGTCTGCCTCTGCCTCCCAAGTGCTGGGATTAAAGGGGTGTGCCACCACCGCCCGGTTCATACATATATTTTTCAAGATAGGGTTTCTCTGTATAGCCCTGAATGTCCTGGAACTTACTCTGTAGACCAGGCTGGCCTCAAACTCAGATCCACTGTGGTGGTTTGAATAGGAATGGCCCCATAGCCTGATTGTTTGGATGCTTAGCCCATGGAAAGTGGCACTATTAAGAGGTCTGGCTTTCTTGGAATAGGCGTGGCCTTGTTGGAGGAAGTGTGCCACTGTGGGGGTGGGGCTTGGAGGTCTCGTCTATGGTCAAGCTGCACTCAGTGTGTCACATGCTTTCCTGCTGCTGCCTGCAGATCAAGATGCTGAACTCTTAGCTCCTTCTCCAGCACCATGTCTGCCCGCATGCTGCCATGCTTCCCACCATGATGATAATGGACTGAACCTCTGAAACTAGCCAGCTGCAATTAAATGTTGTCCTTTATAGGAGTTGCTGGGGTCATGGTGTCTCTTCACAACAATAGAAACCCTAACACATCCACCTTCCTCTGCCTCTTGAGTGATGGAATTAAATGCACGTACCACCACTACCTGGGTACAGAATAATACATAATGAGAAATATAACTTGATCTCCTCCTCCAATCTTATCGCTGTAAATGAATCACATTTGTATTTAGTATAACGACAACTATACTACTATTTGTATATACAAATATTGTATATACAAGTAATCTGGGGACATTAAGAACATTTATTTATAAAGTGGCTGATCATTAATTTGGTTTAAATCACCTTTGTTTCAACAATTTCCAATAAGTAATTCTCATGAAATTATGACTTTATAAACTAAGGTAATTTATCCCTGTTAAAATGTTTGAGCCTATGTCTGTCTTTTAGTCTTTTTGGCCTCAGCCTCAACAGAAGCCATTGGCTTATGGTTAAACAGTATCCTTTTAAAGATATCACAAGATGTAATAACATTAATAAATACATTCTATTCATTGTAAGAAATTTTTTGACTGAGGGGTGTTAGGCAAGAATATATGTGTCTATTGGGGCTTTACCCAGCATGCACATCAGCTTTCCCATAGCTTCATGGGTGACTCCAGACCCCTCTCTTTAGTATTTTAGCCTCTGTACTCTCATTTCTCCAAAACACCTTTAGTCTTTACTGTTAGGGCCTAGTTGCTTGCAACTAGCTGGGAGGAGTGACTGGTTACTAATGTGAAGGTTCAATGGTACCCCACCCCTTAAAGGAATATTAACATTTAACAAGCCCAGTTGTGATTGCTTTGAGCAGACACAGCAAGTTATGAAGATGGTAGTTGTTCAGTTTAGAAGATATTAGGCAGCAGCATCTTAATCCAAGAAGGTTCAATCCAAATTATATATGTAGGGTAACATAATAAATTCGTATTACTAGGTGCATACTGTCAGATCATTAGGTTTTGTATGTTTCTGGGTAATACAATTTGTCGTTTTTTATTTAAATTGTCTTATGACATCGAACAGAAGTTAGCTGACTATGATACTGGAGTTATTATTGAGAGATTTAGACAGGGTTCCTTTAACCCTTTCCATAGATGAGCAACCCATTTGCTAGTTTTATCAGACACCTTTATACCATGGAATAAACAGTAGTAGCCTCTATTGGAAACAGTTTACCGCTTAGCTGCTCCCCAGTGTACAGTGCTTTCCTGGGATGTTCTGTGGCTCTCCTTTTCCCTGTCATAGAATCAGGGCGACAGCCTGACTCAGGACAAGGGCTGTGGAGCGCACTTTGAGACAAATACACTTGGGTCTGAAGTG